GTCCATGAGAATTTGAAATTCTCTTCTGAATTTTCCCCTTTTGATCAGGTTTTTCTGTAAAATCTTTGATCAAAATGTTAAAGTAGTTTGCCACCATCCAGTTCTTCTGGTCTCATGGCAAAGGAGGCGGTTAGCCACACAATTCATATTTTCCTCCTATTCCTGACAAAAGGAGATCTATTATTATTCCTTGGATGGCCACTTACAAGCTTTTAAAACGTCAGGCGTTGCGGAGTAAACTAGGAGGTAGAACAGAAACGCTAAACATGTTATTAGGCCAAGTAATTGGAATGTCCCATGAAACCATGCCCTTAACTCTCCGAACCAAGAAACCAAATCCCAAGAGGTTTTTGGTTGTACATAAGCAGGCTCAACAGCTCCTCTTTTGTGTGTGTGTGTGAGGGGGGGTGTTGTATATATATATCTATTCCACAGCTTTTGTCAGTTCAGCTTTTGACAGGTATACAGCTTATTGACAGCAGTTATAATATTTGGCTGTGCAACTCTACCCTTAATCAATGCATTATTTCCATCACTGTTAAAGCTCTCCTTTTCTTTCCTTCCTGCCCTTGGTAACCACTAATAAACTTTTTTTCTTTCTGAATTTTCCTTTTCTTGATTTTTATATAAGTGAGGCTATACAATATTTGTCCTTTTGTGATTGACTTTTTCACTTAGCAGAGTCTTCCAGCTCCATCCTCCAGGCTTCATTTCTCTGACTCACACTTTCTGATTTTAAAACAGATTATACAGTTACAGTAAACAAAACAGCCTGGTACTGGTATAACAATAGACACATGGACAAATGGAATAGAATTGAGAGTCCAAACATAAACCCACACAGCTTTCGTTAACTCATTTTTGTTGAGGTATTGTTTTGTTTTATGTGTTCATGTGAAGAAACTCTGTAGGCTCTGGAGTTGGGTTGGCTGTAATCTTTAAGGAAGCTACTTGCCAGGCCTCAATCTTCCATGGTCACACTGGATAGGTTTGAACAGGCAACTCTTGGGTTACTAGCAGAGTGCAGACCGTCTGTGCCACCCAGGGACCTTTATGGTCAACTGGTTTTTTACAAAGATGCTACGTCCATTTAATGGTGAAAGAAGAGTCTCTTTAATAAATGGTGCTAGGAAAATTGGGTCACCACATGCAGAAAAATAAAACAGGTTCCATGCCTCACACCATACACAAAAACCCATTCAAAATGGATTAAAGACCTAAATATACAAACTAAAACCATAAAATTCTTAGAAGGAAAAGCAGGGACAACCCTGTCAAGCCTAACTTTTAACAGTAGATTATGTAGTAACAAAAGCAAAAACAGCAAAAGACAAAATATATAAATGAGACCTCATCAAAATTAAACACATTTGCCCATCCAAAGACTTTACAGAAAAATAATATATCATATCTCCTACTAACTGAGTAGTAGTCCATTATATATATGTACCACATTTTGTTTATCCATTCATCTGTTGATGGGCATTTAGGTTGTTTCCACCTTTTGGCTATTGTGAATAGTGTTGCAGTGAACACTGGTGTACAAGTCTCTTTTTGAGTCTCTGCTTTCAGGTCTTTGGGGTATATATACTTCGGGGTCGAACTGCTATGCTAGGTTATTTTTAGGTAACTATTTTGAGGATTTTCAGGAACCACCATACTTCCATGGGAATTCCGGTGGCGTAGTGCCTAAAGCATTTGACTGCTAACCAGAAGGC